TGACAAACAGATGACCTCTATCTCTCTCCTCTAGAGCTAAATAGTATTTACCAAGAGACTTACTGCCTGTTCTTTCTCAGAAAAAGGCAAGCCAACTCCCAGGGCTGTTTCTTTGACCTTTTTGTTATGCTCCTTGCAGAAGGGAGTAGAGTGCATTGTCTGATTTGCCAGTGCTACCCTCAGGCTATCTATCAGGCAACCAGTGGTTCTGACAGTTTTGCTGACTTCTTACTTGGCTTCTCACAGGTGGTTTTAGCACAGGTCGAGCAGTTCTACTTGAAGAATATGAAGTCTGAAATATTCTATAATCTGACTCTTTTCAAGCACTGACATGATACTACAAGTGGAAAATTCCATGCCTGACTTTATGTGACATCAAAACTCAGGCACACTAAAAGTATTGTGTAAAATTATCTTCAGATTTCGTGTGAAGGTATTTACAAAACATAAATGAATTTCATGCTTACACTTGGATCCCATCCCCAAGATATCTCATAATGTTTTTGTAGAATTTCAAAATCAGAAAAAAAAAGCTGAAATCTGGACTCAAGCATTTTGGATAAGGAATACTCAACCCGTAGAGTTTATGTGTTTTCTATGCAAGGTTGTTTCAGAAATGGAAAAATATGGCCAATCTATGGAAAACTGATCTCAGAAATTAGGAAACATGATTAAACCCAGTCATGTGTTGTGATCTTCATTTATCATATGAAATTGTGGAGTAGGAAGAACATGGACCTGGAGTCAGGAAATCTTGGTTCTGATTTTGATACTGTCTGACTCTTAAGCCAGAACTTACCTTTAAGCCTCAATTTGTTTCCCTACAGAAGAGCTGAAGGACTGTTCTTATACAAAAATATTTCAGAAAGTCAATCCAAGAAAAGTTCCCTTAGATACCATATAAGAAAACTCAAATATCACCAAAGAAAATGAAGGAAGTTCCTTTAATTGATCTTCAGAGATACACAGATCATTAAATAGATTTTCTTAAATCTCTACAAAAAGTCTATACACACTTCCTTCTTTTTGTCTATGAAAATTTGCATGGAAGAGAAGGTTGAAAAGAGTAGGAAGACTGAGTCTGTTTTTAGTGTGATAAAAACATAGAAAGAGCATCAGTTGTTGGAATGTTTTTATTTCTCTTATGTTCAATGAGGTGAACAGATTTGGAAACCCTACCAGTCTACTGGAAGGAGTGTCATAGCTTCATTTGCTTGGCAGTGTTTAGTTCAATAACTAGAGACTTTATATCAAATATTTATATCATTTTGATTCAGACTGGGCATTGCTCCCCTTTCAGCTGACCCACTTGGGTTGAATAACATCACAATTGTCCAGTGCCAGCTCAGTAGTGTGAGTTTTAATGAGTTTGCAGCTTTGTGATGAGTGATGAGTTTTTTGCCTTGTGAAATAGCCCATATTTCTCAGTTTACTTCCACTGCCTTTTGAAACTTTTATTTATATCTCCATTGTACTACATTCTACTTGGTATCTTTATGCCATTCATGTAAACATTTAGACTATAATAAGCCTTTTAAAGGAAGAGTCTATGTTTTTGTTCCCTTGGTAATTTCAAAGTATGCTGAGTTCAACACCTGGTATAGGGCATGTATTCTTTGAGTTGAACTCAATTGGGTGGTCTAACAATTAGACAGGCCCATAGAGTGCAGATACAGAATACAATAGGGTAACCATGGCTTAAGTATAGAAATATTCTTAGAGGTGCAATGCTCAGGAGAATAATTTTCAACTTGTGGTAGGGTGGGATTGGTTAATTCTAGAATCTATGTTTGTTGAAACAACAACATTAATAGATGCTGCTCTATCTTCTTTGCATAGGAAGATCTTAAAATCCTAATTGGATTTTTCTGGAAAATGCATTAAACAGTGGAGTGTATAAAAATAATCATAGAGGTGAAGGAAATAGAATATAAATCTTCCTGATGATTAGAGAGTAGAATTCTAGGAAGAGAAACTCTTTGGACTAACTATAGCAAAATGTTCCAAAACCCAGCATTGCCTTCCCAATGACACAAGTAGTTCTGAAGAATTAAAAGGATACAAAATGACAAAGAGAACCATTGCACTGAAATATTTTTGGGACAGAAGCAAATCACTTCATCCTGCATGAAGTAGACAAAGAATAAAGCCAGAATGTTGAGAAATGCTCAATAGTAAGCTCATGGATAATAAATTGTTCACTTGGAGAGCAGTCCTAAGTGACTAGCAAGGCATCATAATATATCTACTGGGGAGGCAAAGTAAAGGCCTCTTTGCTAAAGTGGCTGATAATTCAAAGAAAATGAAGACATGCCCAAGGAATTGGGCCAGTGTGAGGTAGAGAATGTGAGACAGAGAAGTGAGAAATCTATGTGGGAGGAGTTTGTGATGCTAAACAAACTATTATTTGTTCCATGACTTATACTTGTAACAAAACCAATATTAAGTAATTAAATAGTTAGGCACACTGAGATTACTGATTAATTTTATTACCAGCAGGATGAAGAGTAATTGGCTAGTTTCCAGACACTACAGAGTGCCATGTGTAATCAAATTCTAAAACATGTTCAAAGGTTCTCTTTGGATCAACTTTGCAAAAAAAAAAGGAAGCCTAAATATTTTTGTGATAGTACATATTTGCATAGAAAGACACATGCATTTTATAATCAATACCATTAACCGCTCAAATTTGTACTTATTCACTGAGGACACTGGAAAATAGGTTTATTCATTTATTTAACAGATTTAGTAATGTCTTAGTTATTTTTCTCTCATTGCTGAGACAAAATACCCAACAGCTAAAATTAAGGAAGGAAATGTTTACTTAACTCATAGGTTGTGGAGGTTTCAATCTATAATCAGCTGGTTCTAAGACAAGGGGGCATAGCACAGGGGCAACGGTCCAGGTGACAGAAGCCAGCAAAAGCAACAAGGGCAAAAATGGGGAAAACAAGCCTCTTTTCCTCCCTTATATTATCCCTTATATGCCAGCTACTCCCCCATGCCCACACCATGTCTGTGCCCTCCTCTTCCACAAGCTGAAGATGTGTGCAAAGTAAGGACCCTGGCTGCCTGCTGAGTCACTTAGCTGAACTTGTAAACTTCTCAAGTTGACACAATGAACAACTTCCTAGAGGGGTAAAGGCTGTCCTTTTCACCCCAGGATATAGAACTGCTGAGTTACTTTGTTAAGTCTCTAGACTCCTCTAGTTGACACAATGTATCAACCATAACAAGTAAGCTTCTGCTCTGTGCTGGACCCTGTTTTACGCACTAAAGTTGCAGTGGAGAGCAAAACAGACAGTTGTTGTCCTTGGAGAACCTTCATTCTAGTTTAAAAAATAGATAACATTATAATAGATTACATAACAACAATAATATGATAAACTATATAATATACAATGATATATATTAGA